TATGGTTAGCTATTATCCTACTTCCCCTTATTCATCCTATCGAGTAATAAATATATTCAATATATCCGCATTTCCTAGACATATTGTATCCTAAATTGAAATACAACCGAGGATAAAAGATACTTTATTCTTAACAGTGGTTACTATCCTCTCAGTTTTCTTACCGTAAAGGCTAATACTGGTATAATGTCGAGTAAATTTCGCTTAAGCATTTTCAGCGTTCCTGTAAATTATATTATTCCCGGACATTGGCCTCTATTTGATTACAGTTTTTAATTTGGAGAGTCTCAGTACAACCGGGGATCAACAGATTCTGAACATTTTCACTGAATCACGGTTAACCTTTCCTGTTCTTCTTAGATTCGAAAAATTGGACATAACGCCCAAATCTGCTCAACGAATTAAGCCCGTCCTGGAACGCTGGCTGGCAGAACTGGAAGGCAAAAAATGTCCTGAGCAAACACCTGGCTTTGATGAAAACTTTGTGGAAGACGCCGTCACTCGGAAACGAAAAAGTCGAACCAACTTCTCTACTGATGCACTTGCACGACTTAATTGTGAATTCGCCACTAATACGCATCCATCAGGTACTTAAATTTCCTAGGAAACTTTTGTATGATAAACACTGCACTGGACCGTAACGCCGCAAAGCCTTCAAATTACTGTTCGTAATACCGTATTAAAATGTACCTCTTCACGCCTGCTTAAGAGAACTATGAAGTCTTTTGACGCTCATTAATGAACGCTACCCTGACCACTAACGAAACTCATTTGTCCCGCTCTGCCTTGAGTCTTGACAAATGCCCTGACAGTCGTAACAGCTGGAAGTAGTCAGATAGTACTGCCGACAAAAACCAGGAAGACTGGAATGGCCGTTTCTGGCTCATTAGCCGTTGTCAGCCAGCCATACCTGATCCTCGAACTAGCCACCTTTTTGGTCAGAGTCAAACGCCCTAACCATTGGGTGGGACACCACTTGAGTCTGTGTATGACTGGCTGACGACGGCTAATGAGCCGGAAATGGCCATTTCAGTCTCCCTTATCTTTGCCGGCAATATTGTCTATGAACCCTTTTGCTCACTTGCCTCCTGCCTTATTATACGCTGTTAACATACAAAAGTTAGCGGACTAGTACTAAACAATCGTTTTTTTATAATATTCATAAAAGGACATGCATAGGGCTCAGGAGCACACCTAGCTTGGTTTCCTTGTGAAATACGTCATCTCAATTTTAAAGCTTACTTTTGCAAATCATTAAAAGTCTCTTTGGTGTAGGTCTTCTATCAGAGAAGTTGACAGTCGCACTCCTAGCAAGCCTCCATATGTTCGTTTTGACTTGGGCACCGTAGTTTTCCGTTCAGACTTAACAAAATCGAGTAGTTTGTTCTGTCGAAAACGAACATATGGAGTTTTAGCAGGAGTCCGACTGTCGACTTCTCTGATAGAGGGCCTACACCACATGCTATAAGAAGCAATACCATTAAAGGCGAGGGGAATAATTCATAGCAAATTTACAGAGGAAAACCCGTGTACATTAATTTAACACAGCTATTCATGAATGGATGCCAATATTCGCATCCCATGTACGTGCATAGATAGCGAAGGAGAAGGCGGTTCGATCACCAGAATCGTAATTTTATCCATCTGAGCTTAAGGGCTTTTACTGGAGTCTATCGTCATAGAAAAAAGCGTCAACAAAAAACGATCAACAGCTGTAAGGGGCAGGGGCCAATCAACCGATATAGGGGGGAGGGGTCAATCAACCACCAGTGCCGTCAGTCCGGGGATGCTTGCGCAGGGCGATGTATACCGGCGTCAGATTGATAGATCGATTGACTGGGTTCTCATCTGAGGCCCAGGCTTCAATTAATTCTCAGCTTTTATCTCTGACGATGGATTCCAGTAAGAGCTCGAAAGCTCAGACGAATAAAATGAGTTCGGTGGTCGAAATGACTTTTCCTTTTCTGTCTAAGCTTTTGGTTAATCATATATAAGAAACTTTTCTTTATCTGCACGCGGCTGTAAGTTTCATAAACAGTATTTTAAGTAGGCCATTTTCACACAAAAACATTTGTATTCTGCTAAGCTACATAGGCAGAACTTGAACGTTGATCTACAAGTTTCCCTGTTACTCACTCCTTCTTATACAGCTACTTGCGCACGAACGTAGTAGCAGACTAAAATAAAGATATTTTCATGTTTTATTTTCCGTTTCCTCTTTATATGCTTGAGAATATCTCAACTGGCTCAGCAACTCAACTATGACCGGGAGGTGATACGTGTTTGGTTTTGCAACAAACGACAGTCCTGCAGAAATGGACCCCTCGCTAGTCGGATGCGGGAGTATGGCCTATTTAAACTCCCCACAAAACATTCCACTGGCCTTCCACTGGGGTTCTCACTGCCGCCGAAAGACCAACCAACCCCCTACGCCACGGAAAATCCCCTAGTCAACCTGACAATGCAGCTGCCTGAGGCTGGAGCTAATAATGAGTGTTCAGCTTTGGGCGATATTGGCAATTCCGATCAGGAAGACACATGGCTGCCCCTGGACCTTAGCATTAGGCCAAGAGACGGTGTTCAGTGATACAGTACAGATTGCATGAACTAAAATATGTATTCTTTTCCCAGTAACTAGTATGTGCACTTTATCAGTCCGCAGATATCTGAGTTATTCTAAAATGTTCTCTTTTTTCAAAATCGGATTCAGGCATAAATGAATGACTAAAAGAACTATCAACTAATAATAGTGAAAGCCAGAAGGAGAAAGGACGTTCACTGGGAGAGGTTTATTGGGTATCCAACGCTTCGGATAATGTTCTCGTATATTCATCTCCAGAGAGTGAATACTCTGGCTCCTGGCTCTCGCTATATGCCGCTCGTTTGTTCCGCGTGCGTTGTCTGCTCCATTGGAGCCGCCAACGAGTTCTACGGTCAATGCGCGTAGTACCCCAGTTATAAACAATGCCAACACGGAAGC